TAGTTTACTCTCAGCCAGCCTAGTTTACTCTCTTGTAATCCCTTCCTCTGCAATCTCTCCACTTGGATCAGAGGTCTCCAAACTCGGCCACTTTAAGACTTGTGGACTTCAACTCCTAGAATTCTTCAGCTAGCATAGTTTACTCTCTTGTAATCCCTTCCTCTGCAGTCTCTCCACTTAGATCAGAGGTCTTCAAACTCGCCCACTTTAAGACTTGTGGACTTCAAGTCCCAGAATTCTCCAGAAAACATAGCTTACTCTCTTGTAATCCCTTCCTCTGCAAACTTGGCCACTTTAAGACTTGTGGACTTCAACTCCCAGAATTCTTCAGCCAGCAGATCTTACTCTCTTGTAATCCCTTCCTCTGCAATCTCTCCACTTGGATCAGAGGTCTCCAAACTCGGCCACTTTAAGACTTGTGGACTTCAACTCCCAGAATTCTTCAGCCAGCCTAGTTTACTCTCTTGTAATCCCTTCCTCTGCAATCTCTCCACTTGGATCAGAGGTCTCCAAACTCGGCCACTTTAAGATTTTTTTTTTTTTTGATTTTATTAAGGATTTATATGCCGCCCTTTTCCCTGAGGGGACTCAGGGCGGCTTACAACAATGAGGGGAAGGGGGTGCAAGACAAGACTTTAAAGACTTGTGGACTTCAACTCCCAGAATTCCCCAGCCAGCATAACTTACTCTCTTGTAATCCTTTCCTCTGCAATCTCTCCACTTGGATCAGAGGTCTTCAAACTCGGCCACTTTAAGACTTGTGGACTTCAATTCCCAGAATTCTCCAGCCAGCATATTTTACTCTCTTGTAATCCCTTCCTCTGCAATCTCTCCACTTAGATCAGAGGTCTTCAAACTTGGCAATTTTAAAGCTTGTAGACTTCAACTCCCAGAATTCCCCAGCCAGCTATGCTGGCTGGAGAATTCTGGGAGTTGAAGTCCACAAGTTTTAGAGTTGCCCTGTTTGGTGACCCCTGCTCTATGGCGTCTTGCTTGAGCAGAGGGTTGGACTAGAAGACCTCCAAGGTCCCTTCCAACTCAGTTACTGTGTTAATTGTTGGAAATGGCTCATGGCTTGAATCGGAGGCGGTGATCAGATCAGTTGCCAGGGCTGGTGGTTAATCATTGCTTCCTTCCTGGTGACATTTCGGTTTCAGATAAACCAGCCCAGCCTTTTTAACGAGGCCGTAAGTAAAAAAAAACCAAGAAAACAGGTTGGGTGCTGCTCAGGAAATGCAAATCTCATTTATTCAAGTTGATAAAACTATGAAATTTGCCTCGTTCTGGCCGACTGACCAGGCCATCAACACAGAACGAGGCAACGACAGAATTAAGCAAAAAAACAATTCGAACATTAGGCACGAAAAGTTAAAAACACCCAGCTAAATCCAATACGGGTAGCCCAGAATTTCTATTGCTAAGCAAGGGAGTTGTTAAGTGAGTTTTGCTCCATTTGTACGACCGTTCTTGCTGCAGTCGTTCAGTGAATCACTGCGGTGGTTCAGTTAGTGGCCTGGTTGTTAAGTGAATCTGGCTTCTCCTTTGACTTGGTTTGTCAAACGGTTGTAAAAAAGGATCACCTGAGCCCAGGTGACCGTCATAAATATGAGTCAGTTGCCAAATGTCTGGATTTTGATCACGCGCTGTAAGTGTAAAAAAATGGGTCATAAAGTCACTTTTTTCAGTGCCGTAGCTTTCAACAGTCACTAAATGAACTGTTGTAAGTTGAGGACTACCCTGTGTTTGTACTAAAGAAATGATGATGATGATGATAAACTTGGGAGAACGAAAAAAGCCGGGATAAGAACTCAGAAAAAAATAAACATTTATTGCAAGTTTCTTGAAGGGAACGCGCAAGAGGAAAGGAAAGGAATCTGGGCCAATTAGCAAGTTGGGGTGGTGGTCTTAATCCCCCTCCTCCTTTGCATTGCAGTGACTGGGACACCCCCAAAAGGAAAAAGAAGTTGAACCTGGATTTCAGAAAAGAATGGTCCTCTCAAGATTCAGTCTCTTCAGAATCGACCGACTCAGGTGAGATTTGAAATGAGTGGGGCTGGATTTGAACCCATGCCCTGCCACAACGGTTCTTCCGCATCACAGCGGGCTATGCAGCTAGTCCTCAACTTAACAACCGAGGCTCTTAGGGACTCCCTGCAATGATCACAGACAGGGTGGATTTGATTTAAATCGAGTTGATTTAAATCATGATCTTACTAGTGATTTAAATCATGATCTAAATCAACTTGATTTACATCATGATCTAAATCAACTTGATTTATATCATAATCCAAATCATGATTTAAACCAACTCGATTTATATCATGATTTAAATCAACTTGATTTATATCGTGGTTTAAACCATTTAAATCACTAGTAATAAGGCTTGATTTAAATCAACTCGATTTAAATCACTATTTTTAAAGAGCAACTGTCATCAATGTTAAATTTGATTTTGAAAAAAATCCAGAATTAGAACCGTAAATGTTTCTCCTGGGGATAATTAGGGCGAAGTATAAATAGAAAAGTTAAAATACTTGATGTTTCATATAATAACGGCGGCAAGGATTGTTTTTGTGCAATATTGGAAGAAATATTCCAAATATTCCAAATATTTGGATTAGTAATCCAAAAAAAAACAACATTTGATTGTGCAGAAATGGGCAAACTCACATTAAAGGGAAAGGATGATTCGGAATACTCTCTGTTATGGGACAAATGAATGGACAGACAATAGAAATAAGAGATGGAAACGTACATAGAATGTATATAATGTATACGTACAAATATTGATTCTAGTTGTATGAATAATGCCACAGATCTGTTAAATATGGGATAGAGACATGTAGGGAAAAAACGTGCAATAAAAACAAATATTTTAAAAAAATCAAATTTAAATTTAAAAAAATCAAATTTTAAGTTTAAAAATTGATTTAAATGTTAAAAAATATCTGATTTCTTAAAATTGATTATCATCAATTTTTATCCACCCTGATCACAGACCCTCTAAAACAGGAGGGAGGGTGGGGGGTGGGGGCAAACGATGGCGACATGATGAACCTGCGGACTTCAACTCCCAGAATTCCCCAGCCAGGCCTTGACTTGGCGGGTCCGAAGGTCACGTCATAAATGCGAGCCAGTTGCCAAGCGTCCGAATAATGACCGTTGGGGGGAATGCTGCAACCGCCATAAGCGTGGGAAAAAAACCACTCCTAACTCACTTTGTAACTTTGGGCGGTCACTCAGTGAATCGTCGTAAATCGAGGACTACCTGTAACCCTCTTTTTTCTGTCGTGCAGGTGTTGGCCCCGACTCCCCTATGGAGCCAGATGTGGAGATGTTTCCCGAGGACATGTGAGTCAGCGTGCTCTTCTGTATTTTTTATCTGCTCTGCAAGCGTGGGAGAGTTTGGGGAGTTGAGGAATTTCTTTTATTTTTTACAAATGTTTATTTTATTTCCAAAGTTAAAATGCAAGAGGAAGAAATAAATTAAAAAACACCCCAAACCAGCATCTTCAAACAATAAAAATACAATGAACAAATAGATAATTAAAACTGACATCAAAGGAATTTGGTCGGAGAGGTTTTATCTGTTTTTCTCCACATTTATGATTTATTTTATTCATTGGCTAAATGTAATTATTGCCCATCTCGTTTCGAAGCAACTCCGGGCGGCATTAAAAGCATTAAAAAATATATATATATAAGAGAGTAAATTCCTAAAATGATAAAAATGGATAAAAACAACCAACGCTGGGAAGATGATCCTTGACTTACGACGTTAATGGAACCCAGGATTTTATGATCGCCACAAGTCGAGACCCTCGCCTGAAAGACCCAATCTTACAACTTTCCTTGCCCCCCCCGCCGTTAAGCGAATCCCTGCAGCTGTTAAGTTAGCCCCCATGGTTGTTAAGTGAATATGGCTTCCCCATTGACTGCCTGTCAGAAGGTCGCAAAAGCGGATCGCACGACCCCCCCCGGGTCACTGCGGCCGTCATAAATACGAGTCAGTTGCTAGGTGTCTGAATTTTGCTCACGGGTTTCTGGGGATGGAAACGCAATAAGTGGCTGTGAGTTGCTTTTTTTTTTGGGTGCGCTCAATTTTGGTCATAAAGTGAGGACTGTCTAGTTTTTAATGGCTCGTTTGGGAGGGTGAAAACCCTCAAGAGTGTAAAAATTGGTCAAACTGTTGGTCAAAGAAGGGGATGAAAACGAAGCCAAATGGACGGAGGTGCCGATGGGGGGTGGGGGGGGAAAGTTCGTGGGAATTTTTCTTGTTTGAAGAAGTTTTTTCCCCCTTTTATCCGGTTTGGGATGTGGGATCTTAATCTGTTTACTGCCCGTGGCTTAAGGGTGGCTTGTTGTCGGCTGTGATGGGATTTGGGGGCTTAAATCCATTGCACAACCCGTTCCCAAGATCTTTGAGCAATACGAGGGGGCTTTGGATTTCATCCCTGCAATGGGATGGCCCGGAAGGGGCATATCCAAGATCGGCACAGGGGGTCCTCGACTTACGGCTGCAACCGAGAGCCCAAACTGCCTGGGGCTCAGCGAGACAAGTTGTTTTAAGCGAGCCGTGAAACGTTTGTTTGTTTATTTGTTTGGCCAAGATGTTTGCCCGGATTGTGAAGCCATTCGCTGCGTGTTGTTAAGTGAAGCACGCGGCCGTTAAAACGAATCGGGAATTCTTCCCGGGGGGACTTGGATTTTTGAGTGGCGTGGAGGGTTTCGGGGGCATGCTCTCGTTGGGGGAGGAGTAGGATGGTTGGGGGGGTGGGTGAATGCAAAGGGGGGTTATATCTGACAGATGGCACCCGGCAAGACCCCCCCCCCGCCTCCCCTCATTTGCATACAGGTGGGGGGCAACGGCCCCGTGGAGGCCCAGCAAAGACCCCTTTTCAACCCTTTCCTTTGTTATCCGCTCTTTGGAATTGAATCGACCCAGCCAAGCATGCTGGAGCGGTGTGTGTGTGTGTGTTTGTGTGTGTGTGTGTGTGTGTGTGTGTGTGT